CCAGAAATAGTCTTTACACATTGTACCAATGTGGAGAATCGAACCTTGGCGTCAGGCTTTACAAGGAAACGCTTTTACCACTTGACTACGCGTTTATACTGAGCGTAGTCCCTCCACAAATCACCATCCCCTCGAGCACCCTCATCTCCATCCCCATCCTCGACACATCAGCATCGCCACGACCACCTCATCGACATCCCCATCCTTCCATACACACACACCCCATCGACCACCCAATCTTCATCCCCGTCCCCCACACATCACTATCCCCTCGACCACCCCAATCTTCATACCCATCCTCGACACATCACTATCCCCACGACCACCCCATCTACACCCCGTCGTCCATACATCACCATCGCCATGATCACCCCATCTACATCCCCATCCTTCCATACACATCCATTCCCTCGACCACCCAATCAACATCCCCGTCCCCGAAACATCACTATCCCCTCGACCACCCCTTCTACACCCCGTCGTCCACACATCACAATCCCCTCGACCACCCTCATCTACATCCCCATCCTTCCATACACACCCATCCCCTCGACCACCCCATCAATATCTCCATCTGCATCCCCATTCTCCACACATCACCATCCCCTCGACCACCCCAATCTTCATCCCCGTCCTTCACACATCACCATCCCCTCGACCACCCCATCTACATCCCTATCCTCCATACATCACCATCCCCGTGATCACCCACATCCCCGTCCTTCCATACACACCATTCCCTCGACCACCCCATCAACATCTCCATCTGCGTCCCAATCCGCCACATTTCATCATCCCCTCGACCACCCCAATCTACATCCCCGTCCTCTACACATCGCTATCCCTTCGACCACCCTCATCTACATCCCCATCCTCCATACATCACCATCCCTTCGACCATCCTCATCTCCATCTCCGTCCTTCCATACCCATCAATCCCCTCGACCACCCCAATAACATCTCCATCTACATCCCAATTCTCCACACATCATCATCCCCAGGACCACCCCAATCTTCATCCCCGTCCTTCACACATCACTACCCCCTCGACCACTCCATCTACTTCCCCATCAAATCCCCTTCCTCCATACATCAGCAACCCCTCGACCACCCCATCTACTTCCCAATCAAATCCCCTTCCTCCATACATCAGCAACCCCTCGACCACCCCATCTACTTCCCCATCCTCCACACATCACCATCCCCGTGAACACGCACATCCCCGTCCTTCCATACACACCATCCCCTCGATCACCCAGATCTTCATCCCCGTCCTCTACACATCGCTATCCCTTTGACAACCCTCATCTACATCCCTATCCTCTACACATCACCATCCCTACCACCACCCTATCTACTTCCCCATCCTCCACACATCACCATCCCCTCGACTACCCCCATCTTCATCCCCGTCCTCCACACATCACCATCTCCTCGACCACCCCTATTTTCATCCCCGTCCTCTACACATCACTATCCCTTCGACCACCCTCCTCTACATCCCCGTCATTCCATACACACCCATCCCCTCGACCACCGCATCAACATCCCAATCCTCCACACATCACTATCCCTCGACCACCCCATCTACATCCCCATCCTTCCATACGCACCCACCCCCTCGACCACCCCAATCTTCATCCCCATCCTCCACAAATAACCATCCCCTCACACATTCCCATCCCAACGACCACCCCAATCTCCATCCCCGTCCTTCCATCCACACCAATACCCTCGACCACCCCATGTACTTCACCATCCTCCACACATCACCATCCCCACGACCTGCCCTATCTTCATCCCCATCCTTCCATACACATCCATTCCCTCGACCACCCAATCAACATCCCCGTCCCCGACACATCACTATCCCCTCGACCACCCCTTCTACACCCCGTCGTCCGCACATCACCATCCCCTCGACCACCCTCATCTACATCCCCATCCTCCACACATCACCATCCCCTCGACCACCCCAATCTTCATCCCCGTCCTTCACACATCACCATCCCCTCGACCACCCCATCTACATCCCTATCCTCCATACATCACCATCCCCGTGATCACCCACATCCCCGTCCTTCCATACACACCATTCCCTCGACCACCCCATCAACATCTCCATCTGCGTCCCCATCCTCCACATTTCATCATCCCCTCGACTACTCCAATCTACATCCGTCCTTCCATACCCATCAATCCCCTCGACCACCCCAATAACATCTCCATCTACATCCCAATTCTCCACACATCATCATCCCCTCGACCACCCCAATCTCCATACCCGTCCTTCACACATCACCACCCCCTCGACCACCCCATCTACTTCCCAATCAAATCCCCTTCCTCCATACATCAGCAACCCCTCGACCACCCCATCTACTTCCCCATCCTCCACACATCACCATCCCCGTGAGCACGCACATCCCCGTCCTTCCACACACACCATCCCCTCGATCACCCAGATCTTCATCCCCGTCCTCTACACATCGCTATCCCTTTGACCACCCTCATCTACATCCCTATCCTCTACACATCACCATCCCTACCACCACCCTATCTACTTCCCCATCATCCACCCATCACCATCCCCTCGACTACCCCCAGCTTCATCCCCGTCCTCCACACATCACCATCTCCTCGACCACCCCTATTTTCATCCCCGTCCTCTACACATCACTATCCCTTCGACCACCCTCATCTACATCCCCGTCATTCCATACACACCCATCTCCTCGACCACCGCATCAACATCCCAATCCTCCACACATCACTATCCCTCGACCACCCCATCTACATCCCCATCCTTCCATACGCACCCACCCCCTCGACCACCCCAATCTTCATCCCCATCCTCCACAAATAACCATCCCCTCACACATTCTCATCTCCATCCCCGTCCTTCCATACACAACCACCCCATCGACCACCCCATTCTACATCCCCATCCTCCACAAATAACCATCCCCTCACACACTCTCACCTACATCCCCATCCTTCCATACACCCCCATACCCTCGACCACCCCAATCTTTATCCCCGTCCTCTACACATCACTATCCCTTCGACCACCCCAATCTTCATTCCCATCCTCCATACATCACCATCCCAACGACCACCCCAATCTCCATCCCCGTCCTTCCATCCACACCAATACCCTCGACCACCCCATGTACTTCACCATCCTCCACACATCACCATTCCCACGACCTACCCGATCTACAACCCCATCCTTCCATACACACCCATTCCCACGACCACCCCTATCTTCATCCCCGTCCTTCCACACACCACCATCCCCTCAACTACCCCATTCTTCATCCCCGTCCTCAACACATCACCATCCCCTCGACCACCCCTATCTTCATCCCCGTCCTCAACACATCACCATCCCCTCGACCACCCCTATCTTCATCCCCATCCTCCACACATCACCATCCCTATGACCACCCAATCAACATCCCCATCCTGCACACATCACCATCCCTATGACCACCCAATCAACATCCCCGTCCTCCACACATCACCATTCCTACGACCTACCCGATCAACATCCCCGTCCTTCCATACATCCCAATCCCCACGACCATCCCATCAACATCTCCATCTACATCCCAATCCTCCACACATCACCATCCCTATGACTACCCCATCTACATCCCCATACTTCCATACACACCCATCCCCTCGACCACTCAATCAACATCCCCATCCTCCACACATCACCATCCCCTCGACCACCCAAATCTTCATCCCATACATCACCATCCCTACGATCATCCCATCTACTTCCCCATCTAACTTCCCTTTCTCTATACACAACCACCCCCTCGACCACCCCATTCTACAGCCCCATCCTCCACATATAACCATCCCCTCACACACTCTCATCTCCATCCCCGTCCTTTCATACACATCCATCACTTCGACCACCCCATCAACATCTCCATCCCCATCCTCCACACATCATTATCCCCTCGACCACCCCAAGTAGCCTGCAACTTCGGGGTATCGCGGTACTTGTCAGGTACGCTAAACGGAACAAAATGCACTCACTAACCTTTATGTTTATTCGTGCTCTTTGTATCAGATATTATTCATGTTATCAAACAATGCATATTTTACTGATAAAAGTTCATTATTTACATAAGTAGCTTCGAGTAAAAGCCGGGCCTCGCGCTCTGTTTGACAAGGGAGAGAACTCCATCGTATCGCGGTACAGAGAAAAGTTGTGTATGGAGGTCCGAATTGGATAAAAAGAGGACATAATTCTACCAACCACTTGGTATGATCATGCCAGACATCAGTGATTTGTCCAGACAAGTGCAAAGACAGCATAAGTAAAATTCTAAAATGTGTTATCAGCAATAGGTATTCAATGCATATTTACCGAAAAGTAAGCGAAAAATATTTTTATAGGTCAACAACAAAATATCAAAAATGATATTCTAAGATTGTTTAAAAAGGATTGGATGACAATAGTTTGACACAAAATGGAAAAATGTTAAAAGTCAACAATAAATATATAAAAAGCACTCCTAGTATGCCCAAAGTATGTATTTATATTTTGGTTACTAGTGAAGAACGTATTTCTAAGTTTGGCATTATGGCCCTTATGATCTCCCAATAGATTCTGGGCACAGAGCGGGAAAAAATGTGCGGAATACGTAACTTCCGTTACCTCATTAGTCGCCATGAATATGCAGATGATCTAGTTCAGGTCGATAGAGAAAGTTTACTTGAGGAACTGCGGGTTATATCGTTGGCCATTGATAGATGGGTGTAAGGCAATATTACAACAGATGCCAGAACTATCATGTATCAACGGATTAATAACTCCTTACTTACAGCAGACGGAACATTCCGAGGAAATTGAAATTGTTTACGAAGTGAGCACTTCCCGGTTACTGATTTGCATTAATAGACAGCCGCTAAGAGGCGTGTCCCGCGTGAACTACCGGAAATCACAAATGCCGCGATACGATCAATGCCGCGGTACCATGGGGTCCGAGTATACATCCTTATCCTCCACACATCACCATCCCCTCGACAACCTCAATCTTCATCCCCATCCTCCAAACATCACCATCCCCTCGACCACCCCAACTACATCCTTATCCTCCACACATCACCATCCCCTCGACCACCCCATCTACATCCTTATCATCCACACATCCCCATCCCCTCGACCACCCCAATCTTCATCCCAAACTTCCACATTTCACCATCCCCATGACCACCCCAATCTTCATCCCCATCCTCCGGAAATAACCATCCCCTCACATCTCCATCCCCGTCCTTCCATACACAACCACCCCCTCGACCACCCCATTCTACATCCCCATCCTCCACAAATAACCATCCCCTCACACACTCTCACCTCCATCCCCATCCTTCCATACACACCCATCCCCTCGACCACCCTAATCTTCATCCCCATCATCCACACATCCCCATCCCCACGACCACCTCAATCTTCATCCCCATCCACACATCATTATCCCTTCGACCACCACATCTACATCCTTATCATCCACACATTACCATCCCCTCGACCATCTCAATCTTCATCCCCGCCGTCCACACATCACTATCTCTACGACCACCCGCATCCATGTCCCCGCCCTTCCATACACATCAATCCCCTCGACCACCCCATGCCATCAACATCCCCATCCTACATACATCACCATCCCCTCGACCACCCCATGTACATCCCCGTCCTTCCATACGCACCAATCCCCTCGACCACCCCATCAACTTCACCATCCTCCACAAATCACCATCCCTACGCTTACCCCCATCTACATCCCGTCCTTCCATACATCACCATCCCCTCGACCACCCCTATCTACGTCCCCATCCTCCACACATCACCATCCCCTCGACCACACCCCTACTCCAGCTCCGTCCTTCCATACACACCATCCCCTCGACCACCCCTATTTACATCCCCATCCTCGACACATCACCATCCCCACGCCTACCCCCATCTACATCCCATCCTCCACACATCACCATCCCCTCGACCACACCCCATCCCCAGCCCCGTCCTTCCATACATCACCATCCCCTCGACCACCCCTATCTTCATCCCCGTCCTCAACACATCACTATCCCCTCGACCACCACCATCTACATCCCCATCCTCCACACATCCCCATCCCCACGACCACCCCCATCTACACCCCCGTCCTCAACACATCACCATTCCTACGACCTACCCGATCTACATCCCTGTCCTTCCATACATCCCCATCCCCTCGACCACCCCATCTACATCCCCATCCTCCACATATCACCATCCCTATGACCACCCCATCTACATCCTCATCCTTCCATACACACTCATCCCCTCGACCACCCCATCTACTTCCCTGTGCTCCACACATCACCATCCCCTCGACCAACCCCATCTTCATTTCCGTCCTCAACACATCACTATTCCCCGACCACCCCATCTACATCCCCATCCTCCACACATCCCCATCGACACGACCATCCCCATCTTCATCCTTTAGTTATCATCCACACATCACCATCCCCTCGACCACCCCAATCTTCATCCCCATCCTCCACACATCATCATCCCTTCGACCACCCATCTACTTCCCCATCCTTCAATACATCACCATCCCAACGACCATCCCCATCTACATCCCCATCCTACCCAATTTGTCAGCGCACGATTATATTCAGGCTTCAAAAATCATTTCCCTATTTATATGTAATAACCACTCTTTAAGTATCGAGGAATTATTAACACACAATCAGAACCATCTAATAATCTTTTTTACGCTTCATAACAGTATTTCCGTATGACAATTATGGTAATTGTAAGGTTAACGAACTTTCGTACATCTTTACCCCAACAAGCCCAGTGCAATGATGTAGTGAAATATTGTATTATAACGAAAATGTGAAACTAATGTCTTCACACACAGCCAATATGACTGAGTTAGAGTCATCAATCAGAAGCGTTCTGACAAACCGACATCTCCAATGACACCATTACCCATGTCCCGACCACTGATCATCTGAACGCCTCATCGTTCCTCGACCTGAATTCTCATTACCCGAGTTATTCTTCTCTATAACAAATGCCATCGATTTTCAAAACATGATTTAATTCCAAGTTAGCCCTGACAAAGTACAATATTATCCCTAGAACATCAAATTCTTAAGTTTCATACAGAAAATAAAGTAATAGGTGAAAAAAGTGATCCACAATTAACGAGTCATCATTTTTCATACATCTGTAAGTGACAGCGGGATGAACATCAACCTTGGATACTCTCCATCATCATCAACTTCTCCGATCCGGTGTAGATTAGGCATCGAACAAGTCAGGAATCTGCTAAAACGACTCTTAAAACAATTTTCTACTAAAATTCTGTTGTTTATTACCGGATAATATCTCACAAATACAAAAATCAATATTTTTCGGGGCTGATGTAATCTTCCATCTGTCTCATAGTGTTGATGCTTGTTCTGAAAATATTATCTTTGGCGTATTTCATGCTCTGTATATAATTATAATTGACACGTTATATTTTGTCCAAATTGCGTTGAGTGTCCGATAACAGGTGTGTAATTGTTACATCAGGAAGCGTTTGAACAGGTAATATGACCCTAATGTGGGCAGCCAATATCCTCTTGATCTCGCAAACTGATGGATTTTTTTTTTCAAGAAACGCCCCAACACTCGCCCATTTGACAAGCCCAGCGGTGAATCCTGATTGGAATACACACAACCGAGGTCGTTGTGGTTAATGCGTTTGCTCGTCACGTCGAAGACCCGTGTTCGATTCCCTACCTGGGTACAATGTTTGACGCCCATTTCCGGAGTCCTTCTGCCATTATAGTGCATGAATATTGGTCAAAGAGGCGTTACACTCTACTCACTCACTCACTCAAGTTCCTACAGGGCAGTAATAACCATATGAACTTTAAAACTGGAAAAAGGGCAAAGGGCACAACCAATGGTTCAAATGGACATTTAAAGCTTGGCAAGTGATTGCGAGTCAATCAAACCACTTGTTTAGAACATAGTTGTAGGTTATTACGACTTTTATCGTTGCATTATCATCATTACTTAAGAATTGACCATCACTTTGTGTGAGTTCATTGGAGTATGAATCTTCATAGAGTGAGGGCCAAACTGTATGAACGTCGGAGCTTGAGCCAGCTATCTGATTGTTTAAATGACATATCCTTAAACCCATACAAGTCTTTCGGCCGGTATATACGGACCTCATGACGTCATTGTAGTAAATATGACGTAATCTGCTTGTCGCGTCATAATGGACCCTTTCAATTTTTGAGTGGCGGTCGTAAGGTAGAGATAGTGTCACTCAAACATATTTCGCCGGAAATAAGTCGCTGTATTTGCGGACACGTAATGCGAAATTCCTTATATTTCCCTGACCAAGACTTTTTTCATCGTGATATACTTTGACATATTGCTCAATCTGGCGTTTAATCACATGCACTCACTCACCCTATCGTTGTTGACCGCTTCCAAGGTCTAGTTGATAGAGCGTCTGCCGTGGTTCAATCCCGTGGCCGCGCCAGACCAAACACGTCGCTACATAAGTGTAATAATCTCTTTATGCTACGTTAACCCCATTTAATGATAAGTTCACCATCACTTATACCTGTTGCCGTGAATGCACACATTCCCCCGTGAAGATCCGGGTTAGAACTGGTCTTCAGCAACCCATGTTTGCCGAAAAAGGCGACTAACCGGATCAGGTGGTCAGACTCGCTGACTAGGTTGATGCATGTCATCGTATCCCAATTGCGTAGATCGATGCTCATGATGTCAGTGACTGGATTGTCTGGTCCAGACTTGATTATTTACTGACAACCGTGATCATATAGCTGGAATATTGCTCAGTGCAGTGTTAAACAAACAAACAAACAAACAAAAGAGTTCAAATCGACGAAAACCGAATGACAAATCTGAAATTCTAATAGAGCATTGCCTGGATTTGAACATATCAACAATGTTTTTTTTTAACCTCTTTTGTTTAGCTATCAAATACGCCATTCTTAAGTAAGCGTTTCATTGGATTCTGTTACCTTCTCGTAAAGGCTGGTAGGTTTACGTCTAAGTCTAACGTTTTTTTCGGTCATGCCAGAGATCAGTGGTTAGGAAGCTATTCTCCTATCAGAGGTTCCCTGCACTTTGAATTTCAATTATCCCCATCGCGAAAGCGCCCCAAATTGATTAAACACAGCCATTGGCACCCGTTGAATTGAAAGCGCAGTAACCGTAGGCACACTTAACTACACAACGTATACAGATGGAGTTCGATTTCCAATACAGATGGTAACACGTCGAAATAGGCATTTTATGGTATCACTGTGCTGGCCTGAAGATTACAAGGAATCCTAATGTTGTATGAGGCAGTTTTACAGCTGGCGAGGGCGCAGGGTAGCACAAAGGCATTACCAGAGACGTTTGTGTGAGATACTGACAAGCTTATAAAGATTAGAGGCTCCGACGACGCTTCCTTTGGAGGAAAAAGAAGTAGAATCCTCAACAAATACGGAAGCAATGAATTTACTGCTTTTGGAAATATTTTTTTGCCCGGATGGCGGATTCCCTAACCGAATACTTGAATTTAGCGGATAGATCATGTTACTGAAAAGAAAGAAGAGTAAGGTTGTAGTTTCATAAAAAGAATTAAAATGCCGATACGAGGTTTAAGTGATAAATTTCAGGATGGAAAGCATTGTCAAACCTTTGTTTAATGAAATGTTTTTGATTATGCAAATAGCTTTTTAAATGACGGGTTGCGGCCTTAATGCATGCGAATCTTAGCGGATACAAAGGTTTCATTTACATTGGAGATAGTTATTGCAATTTGATTGCACAGCACAGTTTAAATCCATACCTTTGCTGGGGTTATTTATTTGTTTGGCAAAACCACTGGACGTGTCTGTCTGTTTTTCATGGTCACTCAACTTAATTTCCAAGACCAATTCAATACCCCGTCAGCTGCTTTACACGTGTACAGCAACACATCTGAAAAGTTCACGTGGACTGTTTGAGTGAGTTTTACGCCGATTAAAACAATATTTCAGTTACATCACGGCGTGTCATAGCAAAGAAGAGCAGGCAGGGCGAATCAGCTATACAGATATATGCAACCAGGATCCTGGCAACTCTGGACCTTCGGACAACTCATGTCAAATAAAATTGTAAAACACATTTTGAAACTGGACATTTTTTTAACACTAAGTATATCTCATTTGATACTGTATGGGTTCGAGCTCATGTCGGTTTGTAGGACAGTGAAATGGCAAACAGTCTTGCCAGGCAGGATTGCTAAAGGAGGATTTTGTTATTTCCGTATTCAGGCCTTGCCAAAGAGATTTCGAATATGCCATAGTGAAGCCGGTCTCTATGAAAATGGAAATTTTCGTGGGATGCTGGTTCTACTGAACGATACATGAACAGACTACCCATCAGTTAAACAAATTTTATAATTCGTCACCGATGAAGTTTGAACTAGACTTTGCCCTGGTCCCTGTGCAATAAACGCCGAGACAAATGTTACTGACGAACGGAAGAATACGTGTATGTGAACGTATGGAAGTAGTAAGAGTTCGACAAGGCCTTATCCAGACTTATACAGGCTTATCCCCAAATTCAACAGAGGCTAAAGGCTGAAGACGAAACATCAGTAGCAAATGGACATCATGAACTTATATTTAAGAACTATGTGTGAGTGTGTGAGTTTGGTTTAACGCCGCTTTGAACTTCATTCCAGTTATATCACGGAGTGTCATCTTGATGTGGGAGAAAAGCTCGGAGTGATGCAGGTCCTAGACGGGCATAGGTTTGATGCTTACAAATCTAGAAACATAATCGGGGGATTCTGGATTCGAACCCACGATCATATGTTTCTGGCGTGCTCAAAGGACGCAACGATGTCTAGCGAACCCAGACGCCTTAGACGACTGCACCATCCGTGCAGGCCTCCCTCTTCCCCCTCCCCCACCCCCCAAATAAGTATGTATCCGCAGATAGGGTTGAGAAATACAAGAACCGGATGACCTCGTTCCCTTGGGTCAATAGACAGAGACGTAATTAAAGAATAAATGAAAAAAGACGATGAAACCCCCGCTAGAGTTTCAGAGAGTAATTGGATGTACACCTTCAACGTCAACAATATGTCGTGATCACTGTCGCTTAGGCTGGGTTCAAAGTAGAACCCACTATTGCCACATTTTGAGGGAAGCGAATCGACACAAACGGCTTGATTTTATCAACGAGCCTTCCAAGAAGGTGACAGCTTTGATGACGTCATACTCAGTGAGGAGTTTTCCTTATAGCCTGAAGCAACAACTACAAAGAGTTTTACAGGAAAAAATAAAGTGAATCGAGCATGAAGCCAAGACCATCCTCCCTATTAAGGTCATGTGTAGGAGACCGCCTCCGTGGAGTAGTGGTAGAGCGTCCGCCCGGAGAGCGGAAGGTCATGGGCTCGATCCCCGGCCGCGTCATACC